TTGGTTTGAGTCACGGCTGTGCCTCTTCCAATCCAGCTCTCTGGTATGGCCTGGGAAAGCAATGGAGGATGGCCCAAGTTCTTAGGCCCCTGCACCCACATGGGAGACCCGGAGGAGGCTCCTGGCTCCTGGCTTTGGATCAGCTCAGCTCTGGCCGTTGCGGTCATTTGGGGAGTGAACCAATGGAATGGAAGGCCTCTCTCTCTTTCTCTGGCTCTACCTCTCTCTGTAACTCTGTTTTTCAAATAAATAAAATAAATCTTTAAAAAAGAGTCTTGTCTGAGATCAGAGTAATAGTGACCTCATAAAATGAGTTTGGAAGTATCCTGTTTTTTTAAACAAAAATGTCTATTTCTTTTTTTTAATTTTTTTATTTATTTATTTTTTTTTATTTTTGATAGGCAGAGTGGACAGTGAGAGAGAGAGACAGAGAGAGAAAGGTCTTCCCTTGCCGTTGGTTCACCCTCCAATGGCCGCCGCTGCAGCCGGCGCACCGCGCTGATCCGATGGCAGGAGCCAGGATCCAGGTGCTTTTTCCTGGTCTCCCATGGGGTGCAGGGCCCAAGCACCTGGGCCATCCTCCACTGCACTCCCTGGCCATAGCAGAGAGCTGGCCTGGAAGAGGGGCAACCGGGACAGAATCCGGCGCCCCGACCGGGACTAGAACCCGGTGTGCCGGCGCCGCAAGGTGGAGGATTAGCCTATTGAGCCACGGCGCCGGCTCATAAATGTCTATTTCTATATTTAGATGCTATATCTTTTCTCTCATTGACATCATATTTTCCTTTAGTTCTTTGAACATAATTTCCTTTAATTATTTGAAAATATTTATAACAGCTATTTTGAAATCTTTGCTACATTCAAGAACTGGGCCCACTCCATTGCATACCTTTTATTTCTGTTTTGTTATACTTTGCTGTTTCTCATCTGAACTCAAACTGCGAGCCGTGTCTTCCTGGAAGTATGTAGCAGCTGGTATTCCTGCAGTTCTCACCCCGGAAGGAGCTTCTTTTATTTAGCCTGGCCTCATGGGGAGGTTCTCCCATGTGCCTGCACAACTCTCCTGTCATCTGAGGAGATGAGCAGAGATCATATTCAGATTTTAGAGCCATTTCCAGTGGTTTTCTTGATTTTAGTGATTCACTAATTCCCAGCTATTCTTCTGGCCTTTGGTTTTCTGATATTTCAAGCTCTTAAGCCTTCACCTCTACCTCCTTTCCCCTGGTGGTAGAACACATCAGTTGAAAATGCAGCAAATTCATAGATCCTATCCCATGCAGCTCTTTCAGGAATAGGTTTATCTCTTATCTCTGCCTAGTTTTCTTTTGCCATGCCTCTGTCACCCTCTAGTAGTATAGGCTACTAGTTGGCCAGTGATTTGAGCAGTTTATTTTAAGGTTTTCTATCTTATTCCTTCTGTGGTTTTCTTGCTGTTAGGAATTCTCAAATCTGCAGCTGCAGTTCCAACTCTGAATACTGATTTCTAGAATCTTGAGCCAGTAAAGGCTATGGTATTTCATCATTGGTGTAGCTGTGGATTTTGCAGGTGCTCTCAAACAAGAAATTATTAACTTTTCCTGTTGCAATGTTTTTTAAAATTATTTTTAATTAAAAAAATTTTTTTTAATTTGAAAGGTAGAGTTGTAGACAGAAAGTTTTTCCATCCATTGGTTCACTCCCCAAATGACCACAAGGCCAGCTGGAGCTGACCCGAAGCCAGGAGCCAGGATCTTCTTCCAGGACTCCCATGTGGGCACAGGGGCCCAAGCAGTTGGGCCACCTTCTACTGCCTTTCCAGACCACAGCAGAGAGCTGGATCGGAAGAGGAGCAGCCAGGAAATGAACCAGTGCCCATGTGGGATGCTGACACTGCAGGCAGAGACCTGGCCTTCTATGCCACTGTGCCAGCCCCTATTTTTTGTTTTTGAAATACACAATGACAGAGAGATGGATCTTCCATCCACTGATTCACTCCCCAAATGCCTGCAATGGCTGAGGCTGAGGCAGGCTGAAGCCAGGAACCTGGAATTCAATATAGATCAACCCCATAGGTGGCAGGGACCCAAGTACCTGAGCTTTCTCCACTCTACCTTGTGTGTACATTAGCAGGAAGCTGGACTCTGCAATAGAGCCAGGATTCAAACTCAGGCATTCAGATGTGGATAGGAGTGTCTTACATGGCATCTTAACTGCTAGGCCAAATCCTGACTCAGCCATTATTTAAGGAGATATGTTTTCTGCTCTTTTCTCCTTCCTCAGTTTCCATCCTACTTAGGCTCACTGCTTGATGGTACCTCACAGGTTTCTGGGGCTCTGTTTTTATTTATTCTCCCCCTCCCCCATCTCTCTGGTTCTTCAGTTTAGTTAATTGCTTATTGATCTATCTTAAGTTCACTGGTTTTGTTCACTCAAATATGCTGCTGTATCTGTCTGATAATTTTATAATTTCAATTATTTTACTTTTGAATTCTAGAATTTCCTTTTGTTTCTTTATAGTGGTTTCTTTATTTGTTTAATCATTGTTTTCTTTAGTTTTCTGAACATATTAATAATATCAGCTTTGAAGTATTTTTTTTCTTAAATCTTGGCCCACTCTAATGTTTTCTGTTGACTTTTTTTTCTGAGTATGGATCACTCTTTCGTGTTTTCTCAAAATTGAATGTTTTAAACGTTTATTTATTTGAGAGGCAGAGGGAGAATGAGAGTGAGAATGCTATAGTCCACTGGTTCACTTCTAGTGCCACAATGCCCAGGGCTGGGCCAGACTGAAGCCAGAAACCAGCAAAACGAAGTTTCCCATATGAGTGACAGAAAACCAACTACCTGAGCCATCACCTGCTGCCTCCCGAGAGTGCACATTAGCAGGAAGCTAGAACTGGTAGCAGAGCCGGGATTCAAATCCAGGCACCAACTAGTGTCCCATCCACCAGATAAAACATCCGTCCTATAATTGGGCATTTTAGACATGATATTTTAGCTCTTCTGGTACATTACGTATTTCCTGCCTGAAGATTTTTGTTGTTTCTGCTTTTTATTTGCTTAGTAACTTTTCTAGATTAATTCTCTGGAATGTCTCTTCTGTGAAGATGATACTTTGGTTTGATCTTTAAATTTTATTCTTGTTTTTATTTTTAACCCTGGATTCCTAGCTTTCAACCTTGTGGCTACAGAGCTTGGTGGTCAGCAAGAATCGATCATAGCCTGTATTCAAAGACCTTGAATGAGGAAGACTCCTATGTATAGTGAGAGTTAAGTGTGTGGGTTGGGGAGTACATTCAAAAATCAGACAGTTTTCAATTCTTTTACAGTATTTTACTTCCCCTGAGCCCTTACTTCCCCTCGGCCTGGTTGTAGCCTCCTTGTCAGGGATGTGTAGATAGCTTTGGCTACCGCTAGTCTTTCCTTTTTTGCCCACAGCCTTCCAGTCAGCCATGGTTGTGTGGAGACCTTATCAAGCCATTCTGGAGCTGGCTCACTTCAGGGTTTCCCTGCTAAATTTCTGAATAGTCCACCAGGGTTTTTTGTTTTGTTTGTTTTTTTGTCAACCAAGACTGCAACCTAAGACAGCAGTTTCTAGCCTACTCTGTACACTTAGTTCTGAGATCATTATTTTTTTTTTGACAGCTTCACTGGGTGCTGGTTTCTCGCTTCCACTCTAAATCAAGTGAATCTCTCCAGTAGCAGCAACACTGATCATTTTACAGCCTGCCCTGCTACAACCACCACAGTAACTGTGTAAGAAGGAGAGGGGAGAAAAGGGAAGAGTAACTCCAGTAATCTGGGGCTCCTACTGTTTTTTATCTGAAGTTCAGTGTTTTCCATGAATAAATACTTCTCTATTTGTATTCTTTTGATTGATTTCTGAAATCCCTGAGCATTTATGGACTGTCAGATAATATGAAAGTAAGTCCTTGATAGGAGTTTTTTATACTGTAGTAGGAATGGGATCAATAAACTTTTTTCTTTAGATTTTATTTTTTTTTTTGGTAAGACAGAGTGAGGGAGAGGGTTTGAGGTGGGGGGGCAGAGAGAGAGAGATCTCCATCACTGATTCACTCACCCAAATGGCTGCAATGACCAGGGCTGGGCCAGGTTGAAGCCAGAAGCCTGGTATTCCATCCAGATTTCCCACATGAGTTCCAGGGACCCAATGCTTGGGCCATCTTCTGCTGTTTTCCTAGATGTGTTAGCAGGTAGCTGGATCAGTAGAACAGCCAGGACTCCAACTGGTGCTCATATGGAATGCCAACATCTCAGGAGGCAGCTTAATGCACTATGCCAGACCCAAACATTTTCTATAAATGGCAAATACTTGAAGCTACATGCATTCTCTGTCACCTTGTCTATTGCTCTATCCTTTTTCTTGTTTTCATTCTTTCTTTATTCCTTTTTATTTCAACTCCTTAAAAAGGCAAACACCATTTTTAGCTGGTGGGTTATGCAAAGAGGTCACAAGCTGTATTTGGCCTGGCAGAATGAGTTTGCCAGCTCTGACAATTGAAAATGTAATTCATAAAGTGAAATTAAAAAATAGGGAAATCCATGTGTGGGTGAGAGAGAGCTTGTAAATGACAGTTATGAATGACCAGTAAGCAAGCAAAATTGGCACTGGCAGAGCCACCTGTGACTCCTCTGAAAATGTGCTTTCTTCAACGGGATCAAAGCCAGAAATTCAACCTTGTCCCTCCTGCCTTCAGATATTCTCCAGTAGGCAAGCCCTCAGCCAACATATGTGGTTCAGCCATCTCCCTCAGCTGTTTTCATGTTTGTGTACAGAAAATCATCCTCATCCAGGGAAATACTATGCAGATGATCAGAAACAACAGCAGGAAAAACTCTTTGATCAATCCTACTTGAACAACACAGCGGAAATTCAAGAGAAAGAAGATTCTAAGCCCCTGTTTGGAAGAGTAAGCAAAAGTGGCACTTCACAAAGATTCTCTAGCCCACCCGACAAACAGCCAGTGAGGTCCAAGGAAGACATCACAGGGATGGATATAAGGCCCAAGCCAGAACAGAAAGCAGACTTTGAGAAAACAAAGTATTGCATGGTTTAGAAGTCTCAAGATTTGGAGCAATCAAATATGAAGACTTTGGGCCAGGCTTTACCAAGGAGTCAAACCTACTTAACCTCCAGAAAACACAAACAGGGAAAATACCTCACTTGTACCCCAAGTGGGGACAAAGCTTTAGCAGTATGTCAGTTCTCATCAAAAACCGGACATGCTCTGGGGAAAAGCCTTATGTGTGCCGCAAATGTGAGCGAGGCTTTTCCTGGAAGTCAAACCTCATCACACAGCAGAGGACACACTCAGGGGAGAAACCTTATGTGTGCAAGGATTGTGGACGAGACTTTACTTGAAGTCAAACCTCTTTACACACCAGAGGGTGCACACCGGTGAGAAGCCTTATGTTTGCAAGGAATGTGAGCGTGGCTTTCGCCAGCATTCACACCTCATCAGACGTAAGAGGACACATTCAGGAGAGAAGCCTTATGTTTGTAGGGAGTGTGAGTAAGGCTTCAGCTGGAAGTCTCACCTCATCAGACACTTAAGGACACACACAGGAGAGAAGCTGTATGTATGCACAGAATGTGGGCACGACTTTAGCTGGAAATCAAACCTCAAGACACACCAGAGGACACACTCAGGAGTTAAACCTTATGTGTGCCTAGAATGTGGGCAGTGCTTTAGCCTGAAGTCACACCTTAACAAACACCAAAGGTCATACACAGGGGAGAAGCCATTTGTGTGCACAGAATGTGAGTGGGGTTTTACTCTCATCACACATCAGAGAACACACTCAGGGGAGAAACTGTTTATGTGCAGGGAGTGTGGGCGAGGCTTTAGCAGGCAGTCACGCCTCTATTAGACACCACAGAACACATTCAGGAGAGAAGCCTTATACCTGCAGGAAGTATGGATGGGGCTTCAGTAGAAGTCAAACCTCAACAGACATCAGAGAACACACTCGGGATAAAAACTTTATGTGTATAAGGAATGGAATGAAGCCTTTGACCAGAAGTCACACTTTCTCAGTCATCAGATTATACATACAGGGCTATACCTTTAGCAAGTTATCCATTGCTAGACACCAAAATGGAGGCATCTTATGTGTGATGGTAGTATGTGTGACTCTGTACTGCTAAGTGTCACATCTCTAGTCCACCCAAAGGAGAACTGCTGGCTCATTTAGGAGCTCTGACCTTCCTTAACAGATATGGGGGGTTGTGGAAGGTCTGTCAGGCAAATTCTTGAAGGATGTACTTTTATATATGTTGAAATTAGGGAATGGAGGGGCCGGCACTGTGGTGCAGTGGGTTAATGCCTTGGCCTGAAGTGCTGGCATCCCATATGGGCACCGGTTTGAGACCTGGCTGCTCCACTTCCTGTCCAGCTCTCTGCTATGGCCTGGGAAAGCAGTGGAGGATGGCCCAAGTTCTTGGGCCCCTGCATCCACGTGGGAGACCCGGAAGAAGCTCCTGGCTCCTGGCTTCAGATCGGCGCAGCTCCAGCCTTGCGGCCATTTGGGGATTGAACCATTGGATGGAAGACCTCTCTCTCTCTCTCTCTCTCTCTCTCTCTCTCTCTCTGCCTCTCCTTTCTCTCTGTAACTGTAAATTTCAAATAAAATAAATAAATCTTTAAAAAAAAAAAAGAAATTAGGGAATGGAGACTATGCCAGTGTTATTTTCCAAGTACACTTGAACACTGATTCAATACTGAGTGTTAAAGAAACAACATAATAGGTTAATCCTCCGCCTGCAGCGCTGGCGTCCTATATGGGTGCCGGTTGTCCTGGCTGCTCCTCTTATAGTCCAGCTCTCTGCTGTGGCCTGGGATAGCAGTACAAGATGGCCCAAGTCCTTGGGCCCCTGCACCCACGTGGGAGACCCGGAAGAAGAACCTGGCTCCTGGCTTCAGATCAGCGCAGCTCCAGATGTTGTGGCCATCTGGGGAGTGAACCAATAGAAAGAAGATCTTTCTCTCTCCCTTTCACTGTCTGTAACTCTACCTCTCAAATAAATGCAGAAAATATTTAAAAAAAAAAGGAAGAAAAGAAACAACACTGGCGGTTGTCAGATGTCTGATTTTCTGCAAACAAGAGACCTGACAGATAGTGTGGCTGATTTAACCTTGGTTCCCCAGACCATGACCTAGGAGAGTCAGCTCCAGGAGGAATTTGGGGATGGTGAATTTATGGGGACAGGGGTAGTACATGTATAGAAGAGGGTTTTATTATGTAGCAGGCTGATGGCGAGAAAGACTATAAATATCCTAGCTCTAGGTTTGGGGAAGAAGTATTGAAGTACCCTGCTTTTGCTTGCTGCTTGTGGCTTTCTCTGTTTTCCAGGTTGAATCCATACTGAAGATATTTTTATTGACTGATATATTTAACTAGAAATGTGTATTTTTGTGAAGAAAATATGAAATATGTAGACATAGAAAGTGAAATTGTTTTTTGTTCTCTTTTGAGATAACAGACAAGTTTTACAAGTAATTCTTAGATTTAAATTTCTCTAACACTTATATCATTTTTATGGTTGGATATATTATGGTTTTGAAAATAGAAGTGTCCCGGCCGGTGCCGCGGCTCAATAGGCTAATCCTCCGCCTGCGGCGCCAGCACCCCGGGTTCTAGTCCCAGTCGGGGCGATGGATTCTGTCTCGGTTGCCCCTCTTCCAGGCCAGCTCTCTACTGTGGCCTGGGAGTGCAGTGGAGGATGGCCCAAGTGCTTGGGCCCTGCACCTGCATGGGAGACCAGGAGAAGCATCTGGCTCTCAGCTTCGGATCAGCGCAGTGTGCTGGCCGCAGCGTGCCAGCCGCGGCGGCCATTGGAGGGTGAACCAATGGAAAAGGAAGACCTTTCTCTGTCTCTCTCTCTCACTGTCCACTCTGCCTGTCAAAAAAAAAAAAAAAAAAGAAAGAAAGAAAGAAAGAAAATAGAAGTGTCCCACAAATTATCTTAAAATCGTGGCGCACTAGGTTAATCCTCTACCTGTGGAGCCTGCATCCCATGTTGGCGCCAGTTCTAGTCCCAGCTGCTCCTCTTCCAGTCCAGCTCTCTGCTGTGGCCTGGGATAGCAGTGGAGGATGTCTTAGGTCCTTGGGTCCCTGTGCCCGCATGGGAGACCAGGAAGAAGCACCTGGCTCCTGGCTTCGGATCTCCAGCTTTTGCGGCCATTTGGAGAGTGAAGCAATGGAAGGAAGACCTTTCTCTCTGTCTCTCTCTCTCCCTGTCTGTAACTCTACCTGTCAAATAAATAAATCTTTAAAAAAAATCCTGGGTTAGGACCCAACTGTTTTCATGGAACGTGAATATATTATGCTGAATTTTATTTGGAAAATAAAGTTTCCAAGAATGGGCCAGAAAATATAATAACTGTGTAATAATATATCTTTGTCCAAATATGGGTATTTAGATCTTTAGAACTAGGTAAAAAATTAAGAAACCCCATCTCTGTATGAGCATTTAGAATGTGATAAGGTAGGGTTTCAAATGAGTTTGACAATGGCAATTACAAGATTCAGTGTATGGGTTACTGAATGTAAATTTAGGAGAAAAAAATGTAGCCTCAATATCAGAAGAAGTTAGAATTAGGGAAGCACTATTTAAAATGGTATGAAGGGTAAGGAGTCTTAATTTCTGTACAACATCCAAGTAAGTTTGACTAGAATGAGAACTCCTGGCTTAAAAAACTATGAAATGTTATTCTAGGTGGGGTGGTGAGCATGGCCTGCCCATCTCATCTCTGTCCCATGGCAGTTCCTGGCTGGCTTTCTAACTCCCCAATAGAAAAATACCTTTTGAGTTTTAATTTCTTTGCCTTAAAATGTAATTATTGTTTGCCATAAAATTATGGCACAAAAATAAGGATTCAAAAATTAAACATGTTCCTTGTCTGTTTTTTTAACTTTTAGAAAGAATCTCAAGGTTTCCAATTTGTCTACAAAACTAGCATTTTGCCTTAAGTTGTTTAAAAACTCTCAACAGGAAAAGCACAGCAGGGCTGTTAGATGAAGACCACTCAAGTAGATTTAAAGAGATACAAACCCCAGGAGACAGCTTCTATGGCAGCAGAAGCCAGACAGAGCTGGAATTGTTCTGAAAGAGACAGAAAGAAATCCTACAATTTGCCATAGCCCAGTCCCATCCCTGGTGATCTGCAAGCCCTCATCAGCATGCTGCTCACTACCTCTCAGGAGAGACACAACTGAGTTAGGTTGCCTGATGGTCTTCCTAGGCCTGGCCTGGCATTAACAGGCACCACTTACTACTCCGGTATTTGGCTTCTTCTTAGTCTTCCATTTATTTATTTTTTATGATCTGTGTCTAGAGAGCCATTCACTACTTCCTCATTTTTCATATCCTGAGGCAACAGCTCTAAATGATTAAAACAAACAGAATTGTCCCAGAGCAGCCACTGTACCCTATACCCCTCTGTGGTGAGTAGTAGACTATATTCTTTTTCTTTTTTTTTTTTTTTTTTTTTTTTTTTTTTTTTTTTTGACAGGCAGAGTGGACAGGGAGAGAGACAGAGAGAAAGGTCTTCCTTTTCTGTTGGTTCACCCCCGAAATGGCCGCTATGGCTGGCGCGCTGCGCTGATCCAAAGCCTGGAGCCAGGTGCTTCTCCTGGTCTCCCATGCAGGTGCAGGGCCCAAGGACACGGGCCACAGCAGAGAGCTGAACTGGAAGAGGAGCAACTGGGATAGAATCCAGCGCCCCAACTGGGACTAGAACCCGGTGTGCTGGCGCCACAGGCGGAGGATTAGCCTATTGAGCTGCGGCACCGGCCGACTATATTCGTCATGGAAGAAACTTTGAAGCAAAGATGGTAAACAGCATGAAATAGTGAATATCACCTTAATTCCATAAGTCTATTATGGTTATCATTAAAATGTTTTCTTAAAAATAGTGGCACTAAGTTTTTAATTATTTAATTCTCCCTGAATTCATTAGTATGTGATAGTTATCTGAGTGTGATAAGATGATGTTTGGGGCCCTGAGACTCTTCTAGAGGATGGTTAAAATAAATTACATAATAACACTACAATATTACTGTTTTGACATTGTGCTGAAGTTTGCACTGATGGTGCAGTAGAAATAGTAAGTAAAGCTGCTGGGGCTTTGGCATAAACCAAAGCAGTGTCACCAAACTGAACTAGTTACTGTGTTCTTCACAACCATTTACGTGGAATAAAAATAGCCAATTCCACTTAAGAATATTATTCAAGAGACTGGCATTGTGGCACAAATTATACTTTTTTTGAGATCACTGTAGATTCACAAGTAGTTGCAAAAAAGTATACAGCACAATTTCATGTACTCTTTGTCCAGTTTATCCAATAGTTAACATCTTATAAAACTGTACTACAGTACCATAATATATTGAAATATATATATATATACATATGCACATCTGTTTGATATTTTGCATCATGAAATGGGAAATGCACACAAAGTTTTTTGTGTGTTGAAGTATGATATGTTACTTCAAGGAAATCTACTTCTGTGATAGTTTGAGCTGAACTAGCCACTTTTTTATAGATACCATTTCTATTTGAAAGGATACCATTTCTATTTGACAAACTATGGTGAGTCACATCCAGATAGTCAGTAGACTTTTTGTCAAAAATGGAGTGAGTACAAACACAAAATTCTTCAAAATGATACTAACAAAATGAATTTAAAAGTTCATGAAAAGGATTATATACCATGCATTGGCCAAATGAGATTTATCTCAGGAATACATGGAAGATATGACATAAGAAAATCAATTAGCATTATATAACACATTAATAGAGAAAAAGGGGAGAAACTACAAATCTTCTCAATAGACATAAAAAGTTTTGACAAAATTTGACTCCTTTTCATGGTGAAAAAAAAACTTCAACAAACTAGGAATAAAAGGAAACCTTCTAAAATAAACAGCATCTGTGAAGAACTCCTAGCTAACACTATACTAAATGGTAAAAGATTGAAGTTTTTCTATCTATAGTCAAACAAGTAAAGGATGTCCACATTCAATACTGCTGTTCTACATACTACCACTGGGAGGCTAAGCCAGGACAATTAGATAAGAAGAAGACAAAAGGCACTCATGGGGACGGACATTTGGCACAGTGGCTAAGGTGCCACTTTGGTC